TTGTTTTCGTCCACGAGGTGACTGCTGCTCGCTAAGAAAAAGACAGCACTGCATCAAAGATTAAAATCAGTGATCCGTATTGTTTGCTCAAGAGCTCGTACATTGGTGCCTGCGAGAGTGAGAGAATAAAGATCGGCTCCGCCAACGCTTTCGGGCAGATTTCCGCTAACGCCTTCGGACATCACGCATTCGAGCAGCTTCTCGCGATCACTTTCGGGCAGTATTCCGCCGTAGCCTACTAGCATCACCGCTTGAAGCCGTACAACTTTGCTATTGGACATTTTTCCAAAATGCATTCTTACTGAAAATATTAGGGGGATCCAACACTTTTCGATTAATGTATTTTCTTTAAACCAATTAATTGGTCTCATTATTCCGCGCACAAAAGTATTAAGGTTATGATTACTGAAAACTAAATAATATTTTACAAGATATTTTACATTTTGTGTCAAAAAATTGTTAACTTCAAACCTTTATAATTCAAAAAGTACTTAATGAAAAAATGTTTTATTCTAGCGTTTTGGAAAGCTCTCGAGATAAGCTATAAGAATATGCAATAAAATGTAGGGGGTTCCATTTAAAAAAATAAGGTTGACCTTGAAATGACTTTGAAGGACATGGTCAAGGTCATCATCTTACTCCCCGCTTGAAACCATACAACTTTACTATTGGACATTTTCTCCAAAATGCATTCTAACTGAAGATATTAGGGGGGTCCGATACTTTTCGATGACCTTGTATTATAATGTACTGTGAACACTATATGGATACATTATATAAGCATGAATTGTAAAAACATCGTTGGAGTCATCAGAGTCACCGCATGCGCGCTCGATCGTCAGGTTAAACAACAGTTTAATGCGGTCCAGGACACATGGATGGGTGCCTAGTGGTGTATTGCTTGGGATCGAAATTATCGCTGGAGGATTTCACGAAAGTTTGGAGTGTATTTGACAACCTTCGATACGTAGTAGTTTATGAAACATGAGAAAACTAGGAATATATAAGTATATTTTTTTTAATATTATGATTTTCTCACAGTAATATCATTGTGATTTTCACCATTATATTACTGTGATGCATTTGCCGCTGACATTTTAATATTACTGTGATATCTTAGTAATATTCCAACATTATTTCTGTTATATTCCCTGGTAATATTGCAATGAAAATATAATATTGCTGTATATTTCTGCGATATTACGTGCTGTGTGGGTGATTATAAATGACAAAACTTTAAAAAATGTGTTATATGAAATTATGTTAAAATTAAAATTATGTTAATGTTATGTTTCACTTATATTTGATGCTGTTTTTCCACTTTCTGAAATTTATCGGTAAATGTTCGAAATTTATCGATAAAGAACTTAACAACAATCACAATGCGATTAATTTTGATACAATGTTGTATAACTTATCAAACTTTAACATACAACGTGCTCGCAAAAGAGAGAGAATATTCCTTCTTTCTCTCTCTTTTGCGAGCACGTTGTATTTAAATTATATAAGTATATAAGTATATAAGTATATAAGTATATAAGTATATAAGTATATAAGTATATAAGTATATAAGTATATAAGTATATAAGTATATAAGTATATAAGTATATAAGTATATAAGTATATAAGTATATAAGTATATAAGTATATAAGTATATAAGTATATAAGTATATAAGTATATAAGTATATAAGTATATAAGTATATAAGTATATAAGTATATAAGTATATAAGTATATAAGTATATAAGTATATAAGTATATAAGTATATAAGTATATAAGTATATAAGTATATAAGTATATAAGTATATAAGTATATAAGTATATAAGTATATAAGTATATAAGTATATAAGTATATAAGTATATAAGTATATAAGTATATAAGTATATAAGTATATAAGTATATAAGTATATAAGTATATAAGTATATAAGTATATAAGTATATAAGTATATAAGTATATAAGTATATAAGTATATAAGTATATAAGTATATAAGTATATAAGTATATAAGTATATAAGTATATAAGTATATAAGTATATAAGTATATAAGTATATAAGTATATAAGTATATAAGTATATAAGTATATAAGTATATAAGTATATAAGTATATAAGTATATAAGTATATAAGTATATAAGTATATAAGTATATAAGTATATAAGTATATAAGTATATAAGTATATAAGTATATAAGTATATAAGTATATAAGTATATAAGTATATAAGTATATAAGTTATACACTATTGTATCAATATTAATCGCATTATGATTATTGTTACGTCCTTCGAAACATTTACCAACAAATATGTTATTACATTTTTAAACGCTATAAGAGTATACAATACAATCCACTATGATATCGTTACAACGCATTTGTAAATACAATCCACTATGATATCGTTACAACGCATTGCCATCACCAGTTCCCGTACGATCGTTGAGGTTAGACATTGAACAGCGCATAGTCATCTAAAGATGGGTGCCGTGTGACACGGAATTGAATCCACGTGAATTTTACGAATAAATGAAACGACACAAAATATGAAATTATAGTTTTTTTATTAATTAAACAAAATAATACTTCATTATACTTTTCTCAATCTATTTTAATTAATAATGATTTTTCACTGAATTTTTCTACATTTTTAATGAAATATTATTGAAATATTAATGAAATTATAATGAAATTGGGTCAAAATTGTGAATGTTTTTCAAAAGCATTTCAGCAAAAGTTCATTATATTTTCAATAAATTATTTCCATCAGATACAAATATTTCAATTGAGATCTTACATGCGAATTTTTGCGGAAATGGCATTTGAGAATTCAATTGAGAATTCAACTGTGAATTGAATTGGAAATTCTATTGTAATCTCAACAGAAATTTTTCAGTAGGGTACACTTCGCTGATAATGACCAATAACCAAAAAATATACTATTAACAAAACTCGAAATTGAACAAGTATTTTCGTATCTCTTTCTCCTTCATTTACATGTGGTGTTAACTCTTTTATTAACTGTTACATTAATTCTTTTGATAAACGAAATAAGTATTTAAATTCTGCACATGGTAGATCAAACGGATTATTCTTATTTCTTAAAACTATCCTTTCTAATCGTAATTTTCTTTTTCTTCTTTTTCTATTTGTTATACTGTAAATTTACTGACAGTGTACATCGAAATATAACGTAATCATCTTCACTGTGAAGTAGTCTTAATGTAGAAATTACTATAACAGATAATTTAAATAACTATTATACAGTTAATATTATTAGGCTTATATTTCGAAATATGCTGTCAATAATGAAAATTTGTAGTACACACTAGTAAATAAGACGATTTTCAATACTAATAATATATCTAAGTATAACTGTAATGATCTTTTTCTGTATAATTAAAAAAATTTATTTTTGTTATTCAATGAGATGAATATATTATTAAAGTGTTAATACAACATTACAGTCAATGTTATAAATATAACATTACAGTCTCTATTATCATCTATTGAAGAAATGGAAAATTTCTATATATATTATTTTATAAGATGAAGACATAATTATTAAGTTTGAGTACAGTGCTACTGCAAAGTAAATGTAATATTAAATTTTATACACAATGTTCCTTTTTTTATCATTTATAACACATTATTACATATATTATATGACAATCAGATGAACGTATTATTAGGTTTAAGTGCTGTGTTACTGCAACGTTAATGTAACATTATTGTTAGTATTACTTATCTATTCAGGAAATGGAAAATTTCTATATATGTTATTATATATAGTATATTCTATATATTATTTACTAAGATAAAGTCATTATTAAGTTTAAATATAGTGCTATTGCAAAATTAATGCAATATTAAGTTGTGCACAATGTTCTTTTTATCTTTGTATCGTTTATTACACATTATTACATATAAGATGTAGGTATATTTTATGTCAGTACATGTTTTGAAAAAATTTCATCGAATATTCTAGGAAAAATAAATATTTTGTTTATTATGGTATAATCCAATTTTTATTACCGAAAATATCGATTAATTATATTGGCACGTTGATTGCGACCTGCATTAAAAATATTTTCCATTGCTACATTATCATTTATTAGTATCATAATGTTTTCATTATTGTCCATCTCTAATTCATCATCCAAGGGCAAATTTGCTTTTATATACATATTGTGTAACACAACAGGCGTTAATAATCATTCCGGTCTTTTGTGGATGATATACGCTCTTTACTTAACATACATCTAAAACGTGTTTTAAGTGTACTTAAAAATAAATTTAATATATGGTATCAATTTTATAAATATGTATATACTCACACACATGTTTGTACATGTTGTATTGAAACAATGTTGTGTAGAAAATATGTAAGTACATATTTATACCTATACCTATGTCGTTCAACACAATTGCACATGCCACACTTAAGCTGTCATTAAATCTTCGCTCAGGAGAATCTTCTTTTGTATTGCGTATTGGGGTCATTAACTATGGTTCCAGTGGATATCCGCTATCTCCAATCAACCAGCTTCTTTTATCACCCAATTCATAATTTTGTTCCAAAACAGTTCGCTGAAGCACTCGAGATGAAAGAATCGTATGCTGCTCCACTAAAGTTAGCATTCACACATTAAGGATATTAAGATTTGAGTCGCAAATTGTCTGCACAGTTTTAGCATGTATCTTTTTCTATTAAAATATATATGTTCATCCTCTTCTGGTTCACTAATACACACTTGAGTGCAATCAATTACATGATTCCAGGAAATCCAAATTCATGCATAAATTCCTCTTTAATACGTTGTTTTGTTCTTTCATCAATTGGGAAGCGAATCCATCGTGGTGGAATAGCTTCTATAGCGTTACATATTTCTGGAAGATATTTGCTAACAGTTTCTTGAGCAATTGCAATATTAAAACTACTGCCTACACTTCGTTGATAATAATCAATAACCAAAAAATATACTATTAACAAAACTCGCAATGGAACAGGTATTTTCGTATCTCTTTCTCCTTCATCTACATGTGATGTTAACTCTTCTATTAGCTGTTGCATTAATTCTTTTGATAAATAAAATAAACGTTTAAATTCTGCACATGGTAGATCAAACGGATTATTCTTATTTCTTAAAAATATCCTTTCTAATCATAAATTTTCTTTTTCTTCTTCTTCTATTTCTTCTCTTATTAAAATTCTCATTATTGCAACCATCTGGTCTATCTTTTTTTTCTCTACAAATATTATAAATTTACTTACTAATTATTTATTTCTAAATTATAACAAACTAATTTAAAATTTTAAACATTTATTTACAAATATTATTGACTTCTTTTCTACTTTATGATTGTTTAATATTCATTATGTACAAAAGAAAGGTTATCAGAAACAAAATAGTAAATTTATTTATTATAATCATTAACATTCTTAATAATAATAAAATATAAATGTATACTTATGGGAAAAAGAGATAATAACAAATCTTATATAGAGATTATTTAATTAAATTATATATAATATGAATTTAGAATTTAGAATACACACATGAAATAATATTTAGTAATTTCATAAAAATTACTATATAATTTTGTCCGTGTTAAAATCACTGTATAATTTTGACGAATGTTTTTAGTTCAAACATTAAGGATAGTACAACTTAGTTCTCTATAACCGAAGATTCCCGATCTGTCATTGAAAGACCATAAGATAATACGAATTGTTATAAGCATGACTTTTCCTGTCTTGTATTTTCTCCTTTCCTTGTTTACTCCTTTCTATGTCTATAAAGTTTGTACGTAGTTCTACCACAGATGCCTCATCGGTTTTAAGATAATTTCATATAACATATTTTTTAATGCTTTGTCATTTATATTCATGTTTAATACATTCCTTTTTTATACTTTTATGTTCATTATATCCTTGTCCTACAATTTGAGTGAAAAAAATAACAATAAAACGGAAAAAAATTAGATGGCCCGAAAATTGAGCCAAAAACATTACACACTGTGCCTTAATCGTCGCGGCTACTGAAGTACTTGTGAATTTCGTCGCACGGCCTATAAGGCGGTTGTACATTATTTTTTTCTCCGAAACGAAGAGGTGTTGACAAAAATCCTTTTGCACAGAATGTACATTAGTGTTGTAGAATAACTCAAAAAAACATTATCAAAATCCATGGCATCAAGTACGTGCGGTCCCCTTGTGAGTGCATCTGACATTTGCTTTACTCGTTTCTCTTTTTACACATTCTTCTATATTATCTTTTATATATCGTTTAACATTTTCTGAAAGGTGTTCTTCAAACAATTTCTAAATACTGCAGATTGTACTATTCAAATTTTCTTCTTTAGCATTTAGTTGGTCTAAATTTGACATAATAAATTCTAATATTTCTTGTAAGCTGCAACTGCTTTCGTCAAATTTTCTCTTGTGTTTCGAACGGCTCGAGATGGAACGCGGCCGGTTCGTTTTGCGGTCGAACTTCCGTCGACTTTACGTTGGTTGCGCGAGTTAACCCCCATGCCCTCTTATCCAAGAGTCTACTATAATGTTATGAGGGATAGGCATGAATGCAGTTAGTTAGTCTGTTCTTTCGCTCTGCACTGCTGCATTTGTATAATAAGTTAGAGTGAGACAAATATATATATGTTTCACTCTAACTTATTGCACCAGTGCAGCAGTGCGGAGCAAAAGAACAGACCTAGTAACGGTCGTGTGCCCTGTGACGGGCACGTAACTGTTGACCCCGGCGCCTCCGCGCTGGGATTGACTCTCCCTTTCGGAGGATACGGTCGTAGTGACCTTGGTGAACGCTAGAACTCGAATGACGAGACATGCGAATAAAAATATCGCTGCCGCCTTACACGACCCGGGTCGTAAATTCGGGCGTGCTCCCGTGCGTTCGCGCCGCATTAAGCGAGTGCGAGCAGGATCGCGCGTGAAGCCGAACTCGCTGAATTAAGGGTCTCAGCCCTTAACAGATGCGCTAGGTGCCCTGAAGGAAGCCCGCAACGACACTCCCGCTTAAACGTCCGACCGGACGTCGCGCTGGGCGACAAGAGAGGCGAGCGAGTCGGCTTATACGTGTCGTAGGCGCGACCGAGACTAATGCTGCCATTCTAAATAGAATCGTAAGTCTCGTAACTTGTTCTCGTAAAATTCGTCATAACTCATGAGTAGATTTACAAGTCTATGCAATATCATATGTCGTATAAACACTTGTAAATAACGTAAATTATATGAAATCGTAGATATTTACGAGTAATTGTACGACATATAATTTTGCATAGACTTGTAAATCTACTCATAAGTTCTGAATTTTACGAGAACAAGTTACGAGACTTACGATACTGCTTAGAATTGCAGCATAAGTCTCTCGTGGACTTAGAAGGCGAGCGAGGCTCGCGCAGTAATTGTCGCAAGCGCGACGGAGATTAAGTTCCTCGTGTGAACTTAATAGTGAGCGTGGCTTGCGTGAAGAGTGTTGCCGTCGCGACGGAGACTAGGCGGAATTCATAAACGTTACTTAAAATCTGTCTTAAGTACAGTCTTTTTCAAGATCAGCTTAACATTCAAGATCGTCTTATAATAGTCTTATATGCATAGTTAAATCTTGAAAACTCGAGTTTGCGCATAAGATCGCCTTAAGAAAGCTTATGCTTAAGCTTCCGACTTCGAAAGTATTCGGGATTTTTAACTATATAGTATAACCAATAATATTGAAGTTCTACAAGTATATAAATATGTAACGCGCGCGAAGTTTAAATGGTTTTTTATATGTGTTCGAAAACTCTTTGATAAAAAGATATAATTATATCTGATTAAATAATTACAAAATAATTATCTTATTATTACTTATAAAAAAACGTATAATAGTTAAATTAGGTTAAATTTATCATTTTATACAAATTATAAAATAATTATCTATAAATTATAATAAAAAATGTATAAATTATATATATATATATATATATATATATATATATATATATATATATATATATATATA